ACCACAACAAAAATTGGCTTTTTCCTAAACCAAGGCCACCCTTGATATGGCCGCTAACATTGGGGAGCCTTCCTTTATGACAATATTACACCCCAAACTGACAAATGGTTGGTAAATTGAACATTTACAAGAGACTAGGATGGCTGTGAGTTAGCCCAATGACGGGATTATTGTAGGTCCACTTCCCAGGGGCCCACCCAATGCAGCCGAAAAGGAGTGCGTGGTGCTGGGAGTGGGTGCAGCCTACATGGCCTAAGACAGGGCTCTCACCCTCCTTTCACCCACATCAGAGTCCCTTGACGTTGCCCATCGTCGACAGCCTAAAGCCTTCGACCATCGATGTGACTTGTCTCACATCAGTGTTTTGGGGTTGTGAACTTGTCTAAGACCCCCCATAATTAGACATCCAAATTCAAAACTCACATAGTTGGGATTGAACATAAGAAGCCTTCTCTAACTAAACAGAGAAGGGGGAGATGCCAGAAGCCAGGACCCTCGCCCTTACCCTTACCCCCTACCTTTCCCCACCTGCACAATGTCCTCTGAAGCTTGGCAGCTGCAAGATCCTGCTTAGCAACTGCAGATAGACTCAAAGCAGAGTACCATGTCTTCTTAAGAATAGCAGGGAGACCATAACTCAAGCAGTGTACCATATCTTCTGAAGAACTGCAGGTAGATCATAATTCAAGGCAGTGTACCATATAGACCATGACATGTTTCAAGGCACAGGCCAAGAAGATTTTGTACTTTTCCACCACCTGGACCCTCTTACCCCCTCCCCTTGTAAAACATGCTATAAAAAAGCATTTCATGTTCAAAAAAAAAAAAAGAAATTAAAAAAAAATTTTCCATTAGCCCAAGCCATAGGAACCGGGCTTAGGGACACCACTCAGTGTTCACAGGTGAAGAAAAACAATTATTCCTGATATTAAGGGGATACACATTTCTTACAAGGTTCTTATTAAAATATTACTGTGGAGGCCTGGAGATGTTGGTAGAACACTTGTGTGAACACTTGTGTAATACGCATGAAAAATGGGGTTTGATTGTCAGCACCGTGAATCCAGTATGGTGGTGCATACTGTCATTTCAGTGGCAAGGACAATAATGAGTTCAAGACCATCCTTAGCTACATAGTGAGTTGGAGGCCAGCCTGGGCTACATGAGATCCTGTCTTAAAATCAAACAAAAAAGTTAATTCTGAACTCCAAAGGGGTCATTTTGTGCAGCCATGAGGTGAACGTATCCAGAAGGGTTCTGTATGAATGAACCCTTATACTGAGTGCATTCAGGTAAACCTGTTTTCACTGGACTACAAACCTAGATAGGTGCCCCAGTTTGCCTGGCACTGCCTGTTTGCCTCTTATCCCCAGGTCCTATCTCTCTAACACTCCCTTTCAGGAGTGTCCCAGTTTTGAGGCTAGCCAGAAAGTATCTTGCAGGCCTAAGGAGGCCTTCCTAACCCATCCAGCTCCCTAGAGTCACAGGCTACTGAAGCTATCATGATTTAGGGTTTCTACTGCTATACTGTAACACCAGACCAAAGCAACATGGAGAGGAAAGAGTTTATTTGGCTTACACTTCCATATTACTGTTCATCATCAAAGAAAGTCAGGACAGAAACTCAAGCAGGGCAGGACCCTGGAGGCAGGAGCTGATGCAGAGGCCATGGAGGAGTGCTGCTTACTGGCTTGCTCCTCCTAGCTTGCTCAGCATGCTTTCTTATAGAACCCAGAACCACCAGCCCAGGTGTGGCACCACCCACAATGGGCTGGGCCCTCTCCATCAATTAGTAATTAAGAAAATGCCTTACAGCCAGATCTTATTGAGGCATTTTCTTAATTGAAGTTCCCTCTCTAGCTTGTGTCAAGTTGGTAGGAGACTAGCCAGCACATAGCAAACTACAGTCTTCTGTAGTTAGCTGCTGAGTGTCTTTCCTGTGGATCTTTCCACAGCTCTGCACTCTGATCCCTGAAGTGGGTGAACACTTTTTGCTTATGGTAATATGAATGTGTACACTGGTGTACAAAGCCAACAGACCTGGCACATTTGTATATGGGACCACAACTGCAGAAGACCCACCTTGAATTCTCAACAGGAAATCCTGGCATAGCACAATTGTGTAAAAACAATTCTATGAACCATCTCTTTAGGGGACATCTGTCTGGTCTGCTTTTTTTAAGAGCTGGCTGCTGTAGTGCAAGGATACATGATTTCAGTGTGATAGATTATTTTAGCTTCATTCATTAATCCTTAGATAACCATGCCAAGATTTGTGAGGAGCCATTCTATCCCCAATGCTCTTTGTGGTTCTAGTGAGGCTGGCTGGACTTGGTCCTGGGGATGGGACATATGATCTAGTTCTAAGCAAATCAGGCCATCATATTCTTTGGCCCCACTGATTGATTCAGGGATGGATACACAGGCCAGATAGAGATATATTTGCTAGGGAATTTTCTTTTGAAATGCCTGATGGTTAAATGAGTTTAGACAGTGATTTGGCTATCTTGTCACCTCATTACAGCTGAGAGAGAAGGCAGCAGAACACAGATTTCTGGCTATGTCACATGTCCTGATGTCTTTAAGTCAGATACTCATAGACTTTTTTTTATATCTATGAACTACTTTTATTCATTATTCTGATCTCACCCTTGTATCCCAGGCTGGCCTGGATCTCACTATGTAGCCCAACCTGGCCATAAACTCTTGGGCATCCTCCTGCTTTAGCTTTCCCAGTGTTAGGGTTACAGGCATAAGCTACCATGCCTGCTCCATGAAGCATTTCTACTGACCTGATGCTGGTTTTCTACCACTTGCATCCATAACGTCTACAAAGGCATTCTTCATGTCTGAATATTATTTTCTATATGAAGGACTTTAATGAAAATATAAAAAGATAAGAACCAGTGTTGGGCTTATAGCTCAATAGCAGAGGGCCTAGCAGGCATGAGGCTCTGGGTTAGACTGCCAACATTGCTAGAATTATTTAGAAACATAGTGTTCAAATATGTACTTGCTCAATAGTCACTTTCAGCAATTGGCAACACATGCAAAATATGACAAGACTCTGTCCTCAAGAAGTTCTCAGCATCGGACTGGAGAGTTGGTTCAGAGGTTAAGAGCATTGACTGCTCTTCCAGAGGACCTAAGTTTGATTCCCAGCACCCACTTGGTGAGTCATAACTGCCTGTAACTCCAGTTTCAGGTGACCCAATGCCCTCTTCTGGCTTTCACGGGCACTAGGCACAAACTTGGTACAGAGACACATACATGTAGGCAAAATCATATACATAAAATATTTTAAAAAGCAGTTAAAAAAGGAATTCCCAGCATAAAACCAGAGGCAGATTAACTTGAGTTCAATTACACAAGTCTTAGGGTAAAATTGGCTTGTAAGTTCTACTCTACGGGGGAATATTTGATAGTGGAAATAGACAGGTCCTAGAGATGCTCCCTCAAGGATTGGAAGGCTTTAAAGCAGGGGTGAAGAATTCTCCACAGAAGGATCAGCATGTGTTGAACTTCATTTAATTATTAAGGAAACAAATCAAATCTAGAAATGAACGTGACATAAACTCAAATTTTGCTAGCTTGGTGTATTTGTCCTAGGAGTTGAGCTAATGCAAGCCAATTCTGACCTAGCGCCTGCAATGTCTTGCATTATGTTAGGTACTCTGTACCTCATCTCATTTAACACTCTTTTAAAGCTCAGTTTATAACTGAGATTAAATGTCAGCCAGGTGATGGTCAAGCTAAGGATTCTGAATCAGGGTTACTTGTTTCCAAAGCTTTCCAGAATTTGCCATTTCCTTCAGAGAACAAAGCAGTTTTTTCGGAGCTCTAAAAATGTATAGATTCTAAAGCCTCTTGATTTGTGGCTTCCTTGAGCCCAGCATAATGAGAGCTTCCACCCAGTAGCCAGTGGAAACAAGAAGCAGAGACCCACAGCCAAATATTAAATGGAACTTGGGGTGGGGGAAGTTTTGTGGAAGAGTTGAGGGAAGGACTGAGGGCCCAGAAGAGGACAGGGACTCCACAGAAAGAGCAACAGAGTCAACTGACCTGAACCCCTGAGGGCACTCAGAGACTGAACCACCAACCAAAGATCGAGCATGGGCTGTATCTGGTGCAGTGTGGTCTTCATGCGGGTCCCCCAAACAACTGGAGCAGGGGCTATTTCGAATCTGTTGCCTGCCTGTGGATCCCGTTCCCCTAACAACTGCTTTGTCTGGCATCAGTGGGAGAAGGTGCACCTAGTCCTTCAATGACTTGATGTGCGGTGGTGGGGGGTTGGGGGGGGATTGGGGAGGTAGGAAAAAAAAAACATTTGATTTATGAACGGTTGACTTGTTGGGAACACACTGGATGAATGCACTGGCCTGACTGATTTGATTTCTAGTCTCAGCTTCCAGCCAATTCGCTCCTGCATTTCATGTTCCGACATTTCTCTGAAGATCACAAGTTGCCTGTAACATTTCGGTTTTACTTGCTGATAATAAGCATCATTCTGTTTATCAGCGTTTATTCATTTACAGTTTACCCAGCCCCACCCTCGCCTGGGAAACAAGAAGCTACAGTTCCTGGGAACACAGAAGTATTAACTGAACCATCAGACGCAGGAGGTCGTTGTTACCACTATTATCTCTCAGTATGAAAATAAGGACACTAAAAGAGACGCAGCTGTGACAGTGTGTAAACACGAGCATCTCTCAGTTCACCAGGGAAGCCCGGCCTCTGCGTACACTCTTACGCCGGTGAGTGACAGCCCGGGAACACAGCAGCGCATTCCTAGAAGTTAGTGGGAAGCCAGAGCTCCTTGGCAGGGTAGAGCAGCCAATCCCAGCGCCAATATGGCCGCGCGGCATCACGTGGGCCAAGGAGCGGCCCTCAAAGACACGCCGAAGCGAGCTTCGGGTCACGTGATCCGAAGTGGGCGTCGCCAGGGGGCGTGGGTTCGCTTGGCTCCACCCGCCACCCGCTGCCCCGGCAGAGCTGCTCGTGGGCCACGCCCCTTGAGCCCTGAGGGACTCGCGCGGGGCTAGAGGTGCGGAGTCTTCTTCGTGACCTTTCACCCCAGCATGGCTGCGCCCTTGGGACCAGTGAAATTCTGGAAACCCGGTAAGGCACGGCAGGGAGCCTGGGTAGATGCGGCGACGAGACTTTCGGCCTGGGGACCCGCCTGACCGGGGAGGGCTTGGGCACCAGTCCTCTGCGCGCGTGGATGCTGCAGCCCACGGTGGTCCGGAGGAAGTCAAGGCCTCCCTAACCTGGTCGCAAACTCTGGTGACCTTGTTCGAGTTTCTCATCCTCCTCCGCCCCTCTTCAGATGTCGAGTCCTGAAGCACTCATGTGTGTCTTGCTGATGCCCTGGGGCTGCATTGAGGTCGACAGGCGGTGCAGCCCAATGGCTTGGAAGCTTGGGTTGTGGAGTCAGAGTGCCCAGGTTCAAGTCTGCCTCTTTCCTTGCAGTACTAGGTGGAGGACCTTGAGCTACCCGTGCAGTTCCTCTGAGCATTGCTCCCCTTACCTGGGAAGTGGGCAGAATACGAACACCTGTCCCGTGGGCGTTGAGTCAGGAGTGTGTGGTCCGACTAAACGTCTCATAAAAGAGAAAATGTGTTCCAGTGTTTTAGGGTAGGTCTTGCCCACTCTGAATGTTTACCACAAAGTGAACGCCCTCCTTCCTATTGGCTGTCACTCTTCCTGTTTTGTTGGCTAACAAGTCTCCATCACAAAATCCTTTGTTTTTGCATTTTCTCAGGTCAGGTTCTCTTGTTGAATTATACGTACCAGACCATTCTCTGTGTAGGTAGGATGCCTCCTTTTGTTTATGCCTTTCTTATAAACCAAACCAAACCAAACCAAACCAAACCACTGTTTCTTAACTGGTGTCAGCCTCTGCCCTTAGTTTTTCTTACATATTTCCCTTTTTCTCCTCCACCTGCACTCCAGAAGATCTGGGTGTATACATTGTATTATGATGATGATAGTTAGAGACAGAAAAGGCAACAAGGGGCAACTTTTAAAGAGTGTTTTAGCTGGTCCCTGGAAATCTGACCATGTGCCTAAGTATCAGAGAAATAAACTCACGAAAGTGACACATAATTCTTTCTTTAAAAAATCTGAACTGGGTATGGTAGTCCATGGCTGTAATCCCAACACTTGAGAGGCAGTGGCAGGAGGATCTCTTGAGTTTGAGGCCAGTCTGGTCTACATTCCAGGACAACCAGGGCCACAAAGACATAACCTTGTCTCTCTTGTTTGCTTCACTTTCATGACTCAGCATTTCCAGGTATCAGCTGATTGTTCACCCCAATAAGTAATGAGTTATCATTTACTTATTCAAGAGTTTATAAGCAGACCAAAAAGTTAAGTCTAATAGAGGCTTGGATAAATTGTCAGAACTCAGACCAGGGTACCATTTTGGTTAAAGAACTTGGAAAGATTCTACAAGTCTGTCCCATTGTTTAGTTCATCTGGTATATTGAGAGCACACTTCTGTAGTCAGTCAGGTCATGAACACATACCTGGTCCCAGCTCTCAAGGTGTGCTCTCCCAATTGACTCTGAAGTTACTTGTCCGTGAGAAGAGATGCTAAGCAAGGCTGAAAGGGTGCTGATAAGGAAGATGGCCTCAAGTACCGGACTGCAGTGCCTTCCCTGCCTACCACTTATTAACCTGGTAACTTGAGAGCCCCGTAAGTGCTCCAAGTCTCTGCTTTCTTACCGGTAATTTGTCATAATAGGATTGTTGTGAAGATTAAATGAAACAATGGACAAAAACACCCATGGTACTAGATACACAGCTGTTATAATTATAGAAAAGCATAGGAGAGGGAGGGAAAGCTCACTGTGAAGAATTGACTGCGTGGTAGAGATGGTAATGGCTTTGGAGTGAACACTGAGGGGTGAAGCAAGTTTGTTATGGTTTGTTTATGGTGAGGTAGGGAATGGCTCTCCAGGCCATCGAAAGGATTTGTATCTTAAGGATGTCCCCAAACTCCCCATAATGGAGTACTGTGATAGTTTTATATGTGAGTATATTTTGGGGTGTGACAGGAGATGATGGAAAGGTAGGAAGGGACTTCATCGTGAAATGTCTTTCGAGAGTTAAAAAAATTGAGCTTCTGGGCCAGTGAGATGGCTCAGAGGCAAAGGTGCTTTCTGTGAGAACCTTATGACACCAGCCTTATCCTCGTAACTCATGTAAGGGTGGATGCAGTGACTCTACAGAGTTGTCCTCTGACCTCCACATGTGTGTTCTCTGTTTCTCTCCCTCTCCCTCCCTCCCTCCATCTCTCCCCCCCTTCTCTCTCTCTCTCCCACACACACCCCCACACACACTCTAAGTAAATTTTAAAAAATTGAGCTCCCTGCTTTAATCCCAGCAGTGGTATGGTTAAGAAGGCTACTCCTAAAAGAGGTTGCTACCAAAATCCAGGATGGATGCTGAACCTCACTTCTAGCCTGGGAGCCAACAAGGAGAGGCCCATTAGATACTTAGAGGTAAAGAGAAGAGAAAGTAAAGTCAGTAATAATCTTGTGTTCTGGACAGGGTAACTGTCGAGCTCAGTGGGGTCTTGATGGGGTGACTATATAGGTAAGCTGGTCTGGATGGGGTGATGGCCTAGGTAAGTGGGTTTCAAATTTTGCTGTATTGTTGAATCACTTAGAAAATTAAAAAAAAAAACAAACTTCAGTCCTTATGTTATTATTGTCAAGAAATCAGGAACTAGGTAGCAGTATTCTTAACATTTGGGGGGCTATTAGTATGCATCACTAGTTGGGGATCCACTAGCCCAGGTATATAGTTTTCATTCACTGAGATTTGAGTAGCTTCAGTGGGTCCTGAGCCCTGGGAAGTCACTTTCTCTTACAGCATTTTATCAGCTAGTAACAACATCTCTTTGGTGAGTTGATATTCTCACAGATGAGCAAAAAGTTCCAGATATGAAATGGGTTGTGGATTATGCAGGTCGGGGAGGTGGTTGGGAGCTGAGTGTAAGGTCAGATCTTGGAATCACAAGCATGTCTTGTAGGCCCAAAGTCAGAGGCTCTGATAACTACAGGGCCTTTTAGACAAACTACATAATGTGAGGTGTGTAATGGACTAATATGTGGTGGACTGAAGGGTTGTGTGTGTACTGGGGAGATGTGTACACTAGGAAGAGGTACACCGGAACTTCCATATGCAGTACCACACTCCACCTGATTGTTACAGTATGAGTTCAGAGTTGCTGAATTTTTCTTTTAAAAAAGACACGGTCTACCTCTTATCCTAGGCAGGCTCTAACTCTGTGATCCTCCTGAGGTAGGCTTCTGAGTAGCTGGGATTACAGATCCTTGGACAAACTTGGCTCTTAAATGGGAAAATTTTTGTTGATGTTTTAAATGAAATATTTTTCTGAGTGTAGTGGTACACGCCTGTATTTCCAACACTTGGGAGGCTGAGGCAGGAGGATTGAAAGCTCAAGGTTAGCCTGGGCTTTGTAGTGAGTTTCAAGACCCTGTCTAATAAAACCAAACTGACAAGAAACATCTCCCCATCAGAAGTCATTAACGACAATAACCATTTAAAACTGTTTAGTCATAGTGTACATGGAGAGCTTAAATGACTAGTTTGTGGTCTCTAACTTAGTAGTGTGGTATACTGATCTTCTGTGATCCGCCTGAGCTTTTTTCCAGAAAACAATGTTCACTTTATTCTCTGGCACACATGGGTCAGAAGGGCCTGTCCATTTTCATTTTCTCACTTAATAAGTATTTACTGGTGGGTATCCATGTGCCTTGCAAAAGCTTTATTGAGCTGCTTGAGGATTTTTTTCCCCACTTGATTCATGGTAAGAATTGTGCTGTAGGGCTGGAGAGATGGTTCTGGTCAGAGTATTTGCTGTTCTTGTAAAGAACCCTAGTTCCTAGCACCCATGCAGAGTAGCTCACAACTGCTTATGACTTTAGCTCTAGGGAATCCAACACCCTAGAAGGGATTCTGAATTGGGTGCTGTTGTCAGCCTTGTTTCACAGATGGGGAAATGAAAGCATTAATGATTTTTGAAAATTGCAAAAATGCTACTTCCTTAAGCAAGGCACACACTCCCAATTTAAAGACTGCCATAAACAGAGTGGGCTGTGGGGTGTGTAAGCAGCCTGGGGTTCCGGTTTGGCTGAATGGAGTCTTTTGTAAGGAGAAGAAAAGCTCACATATCCGTACAGCAGCTGTTTTGTAAAAGTTCCTAACAGCTGTAGGTTAGACAAGAGAGGGCCCCGGAGGGCTGTGAACCAGTGTGTGGGAGGATGCAGAACTCACAGGAACAGCATTCAGATACTCCAGATGTACGTAATGGCATGGTTTAAATGTTTTAAGAAAAGGGGTATTCTGAACAAAAACAGGGCAGAAGAGGATACTGTGTTCTCTGCTGTAGTTTGAGTGGAATATAGTAATGGAAACAGGAGGACATGAAACCTGCTTTCCAGCCCAGGCCTTGGTCCAGGCCCTGTTCTCTCTGTTCTCTGGTTGAAGGGAGGTTAACATTTGGCAGATGGAGCAGTGTCCCACTTCCCTGCTCTTTGGCAGCTGTGTTCTCCTGAAAGTACTTGGATCAGGACTGGAGATGAAAGCTGCTGAGCTTTGAACTTGCTTCTAGGAGTCTGCAGACCCAGCATCTTCTGTTCAGATGAATCATATTCTTGCTTTTTTCTGGAAAGAAGTTCATACAGGCCTTTAATCCCAGCAGCTGGGAGGCAGAGGCAGTTGGATCTCTGAGTTTGAGGCCAGCCAGGTCTACAGAGTGAGCTCCAGGCCAGCCAGAGCTATACAGAGAAATCCTGTCTTGAAAAAACCAAACAAAACACAAAGGATTTATTTTTATTTTATATTTTGTGTGTTTGCCTACATGTGTGTATGTGCATGTGCTTAGTCCTCATGGAACCAGAAGAGGGCGTTAGACTCTCTGGAACTGGAGTTAATGGGCAGACAGTTGTAAGTCACCTTGTGTGTGCTAGGAACCGAACCCAGGTCCTCTTGAAGAGAAACAACTGCTTTTAACCACTGAGCTCTCTCTGCAGCCCCTACCTATCTTTTAATTAATTTATTGTTTTAGAGTATTATTTTTATGCGTGTGAGTTTTGACTGCATGTGTGTCTGTGTACCATGTGCACGCCTGGTGTCAGATCCCGTGGAACTGGAGTTACAGATGGTTGTGAGCCATCGTCCATGTGGAAATTGAGAACTAACCTGGGTCCTCTGCAAGAGCAGCAAGTGCTCTTTACCACTGAGCCCTCTCTCCAGCCTCAGTTGTATCTTAACCTAGTTCTGACCTTGGGTCACAGAGACAGGTTGGCATGAGAAGAAAGAAAAGCTCATCATATGGGACCTAAACTTCTCCATAGGATCTGCCGTCTTGATTTGTCATTGTTCTGAGAAAGGTGCTGTGGCTGTCTGTGTTTTAATTTGCTCTGTAATGTTTCTTGGACTGCCATTTCCCATGTAACTACTCTAGCTGTGGGCAGTTGGATCAGGGTAGGCCTTGTATCTAAGGGGGATGTGTGTCCCCCATGGTTCAATATAAAGAACCCCCTCATTGCTGTACACAGCACACACCTGGAGCTCCAAGTCTCTTTCATTTCAGTCCATGGCATTTACCTGTCGTTCTTATTATACCAAGTTACTGGGAGGCAGCATGTGAGAGGCAGTGAATCCATGAGGGTCAGTCTGCATCCGTGCTGCCCGAGGCTGGGTTCTAGTGCTTAGAACAGTGCTTGCAGTGAAGCATTTGCAGTCTGACTTGTTCATAGGTGCTTGAATGGCTGGCAGTTACCTGCAGGCTGAACTCTGGGCCATCAGCGCCTGTGGAAAAACTACCCCTTGGCCTGAAGGTTCAGGCCTGAACTTGTTAAGAGATGCAGAGGTGAGGTGGCAGCCTAAGCTCCTGGCTCCTGTTCTCTCTGAGTCTTGCCTACTGGTCCACAGGCTTTGTCTTTGGCAGATTCCCACTGGGTTTCTTTCACTCTGTTCAGAATTTGGTAGGACCCAGTTCTAGATGGCCCAGTAGGACCGTCCTGCCCTTTGTTCTAGACTCTGCACTGGAGCTTGCAGGGATAACTCTTGTGTTCTGTCAGGCACCTCCCTAGGTTTTTTTTTTTTTTTAACTTTTAAAGCTCCAAAGTTTTTATAAATTTGAAATCAAAAGCATTGTTTTCTTTGTATATCTGCTTTGAAAAGGTACAACTTGGGATGGAAAGATAGCTCAGTGGTTAAGAGCACTGACTGTTTTTCCAGAGGTCCTGAGTTCAATTCCCAGTAACCACATGGTGGTTCACAACCATCTTTAATGGGATCCGATGCCCTCTTCTGGTGTGTGTGAAGACAGTGACAATGTATTCACATAAAATAAATAAATCTTAAAAAAAAAAGAATTATTAAAAAAAAAAGAAAATGTATAACTTTTACACACTCTTTTCTGTTTAACACACCAGAATCTGAAAACCAGGTTTTTTTTTTGCTGCAGGTACAGAAGGGCCAGGTGTCAGCATTTCTGAAGAGAGACAAAGTGTTGCTGAGAACTCTGGGACAACCGTTATTTACAATCCCTACGCGGCACTTTCCATAGAGCAGCAGCGGCAGAAGCTGCCTGTGTTCAAGGTATGGCGTACCTGGGGCCCACCTTGAGCCTGTCACTGAAGGAACTGTCATGGAATGGTTCTACAAGTGACAGTGTTACAGGAGCCCTACCTCATTCTAGTGTGTGCGTATATGCAGGCAGGTGTTCATGTGCGCGTGCGTGTGCGTGCCTGTTTGTGTATGTGTGTTGGGAGAGGGAGGGGGAAGAGAGGAAGGCAGGGAACAGGCGCCCCTTAAGACTGGGAAGTCCTGAAGACTTTATTTGCATATTATTTTGCATATTTTGCATTTATTTTGCATATAGGAAATGGGAAGGAGCAGGAAGGCCTTTCTCTTTTCCTTTTCGTTGCTTTCAATTACAAACAATATCCAGTCCAGAAAATGACACAGTCACACAGTGAACTTCCAGGTCAACATATTATCAACATATGGCGAATTTTTTCTTTTAAGAGATGTATTTAGCAGGGTTAATTGGTAATTTGAGAATCTGTCCTTGGGAAAGATTGTAAGGTACTCTTAATACTTAATGAGACAGTGCTGGAGTTAGGGGATTACCAGACACTCCACACTATGAGTACAGTTAAGATGGCAATCAGATACTCCGCTCGCCAGAGGCCAGTGCATGAACTTGAGCACATTCAGAACCTCTTTGCTCTCACTGACGTTCTTCTGTACCATGGACACTGTTGATGGATCTGTTGGCAGCTTCATGTGGGTGACCCTTTCAGTCAGAAAGTAGGCTCACAGGTGGCTAAATGTTGTTGGTGAATGGTGAATATTGATTTCAGCCTCTGGAGCATTTGAGTTTTGAACTTTGCCTCCATGTGGGGTCTCTGGAATGACTTGTGTGGGCGTGGCCAACAGCATGTATAAACTGGTCTTTCTGCTGCCCAGAGCTGTGTGGAAGATGTCAAGGTTTGTTTGTTTGTTGTTTGTTTTTCCTTTTTTTTTTTTTTGTGGTGCTGAGGATTTAATCTAAGGTGTGCCATCAAGTGTTCAACCCCTGAGCTGTGTCAAATGCCTAGCACTTCTTTTATTTTTTATTTTGAGACAGTGTCTTGCCAAATTGCTTAGGTTGGCCTTGAACTTACTGTGTAATTCAGGCTGGCTTTGAACTTGTAATCTTCTTCCTCAGTCTCCTGAGTTGCTGTGGTATCAGCCCCACTAAGATTTGGGTTCCTTTCACTTAGACACTGCTGGTAACACCCTTCTACTAATGTGTTCTTTCTTCACATAGATGTGGAACAGCAGCCTTCTTAATTTAGCTAAGTCGCCTTGGTTGGACTTTCAGGTGACCTTAAACATTTTAGTCAGCCTACTCGTGTCTGGGCTTTATCCTCAGGTGACTGGAGCTATCCCTTGTATGTGACTGGGATATTTGTGTGGGACCCTCAGGACATGAGATGACCATTGCTTTCTCACCACTGAGGGGCACCATTTTTGAGTCATGAGGAAGCGTTGAGACTGGAGTAGACTTCAGGGTCCCTCCTTGTTCTACCAGTCATGTGCTGGGTAACCTTCCTTCACCAGTGTAAGCTTCCAGTTCCTTATCTGTGATATGGGTCAATAGCACCTGCCTTGTAGGATTGCTATGAGGCCTGGATGAGGTCACCTGTGTGGTGTTTATAAGGTGTCGGACTTGGACTACCCAAGAACAAGGAAGTGGTTGTTTACTGAGTGTGTGCAGACCTCGACCTTTCTCTGCCAATCATTTTCTAACTGTCGTGTAAGTGAGATGAAACCTGGATAAAAACAAGTTGAGCCTTTTGAGAAGGGAAGGGATCTAAGGTACATTATTGACGGAAAGCTAAGCGGAGCCTGAGTGCTGCTGGAGTCTTGAAAGATGTGAAGATGGATGTGGACGGGGAGGAGGACAGTGCCTCTCTCACCTCTCCTCCTGCTCAGACCAAATGTGAAGGTAGCTTTAGGAAGTTTGTGGTGGAGCCTAGCCAGGCAGGGCAAGATCCTGGCCTTGATCCCAGCCTCCCCAGCCACAGTGGACAGAAGTTGACTAAAGCAGCACCCGTCTTTCCTCAGCCCATTTCCGAGGCAGCCTCCCCTTGACTTTCCTCTGAAGCTGTTCCCTGTGTGTGGGGGGTATGGACACTGCTTTGAAAGGCATCTGTGCCTGCCAGCCCCCATCTGATGTGCACTCCTGTCCTCATGGGCATTCCCAGGTTCACAAGGCCTGGTGACAGTACCTCCTTGTCAACCTGTCTCCATACCAGCTATCTCCTTGTTATGTCTGGCCATGTTAGACTAAAGCACATGAAGCTTCCTGTCCAGATCATCTCGTGTGTGCTGTCTGGTTTTCTACAAATGCAGCACCCGCTGGAGCCTCCTAGGTCAAGTACAGCCCCTGTTCCTCTCTGAACTCAATGCCAAACCAAACCTGAACCAATGGCCTCCCAGTCAGCTTCCCTCCCTCCTGCCTTAGCCTCCAGGTATTGGGATTGTAGGTGTGTGCCATCGCACCTGGACTCACTGGTCCTCTCCATCAGTGTATGCTACCTTCTTTCAATTTTTTTCCTTTCTCTTTCTCTTTCTCTTTCTCTTTCTCTTTCTCTTTCTCTTTCTCTTTCTCTTTCTCTTTTCTTCTGTTCTATGAAATGTCTAAACATGTCTGTCTTGCCAGTTTCCCATTGGTATGTATTGTGACATGAAACTGAACTATTGAAGAGTTTAAAAGTGACTGTATGTTAATTAAAGCTGAAAATATTTTTTTAAGATTCACATATTTGTTTGAACAATACCCAGCCTAATCTCCAAATAATTTCTGACTATGAAAAGAGAAAAATTATCACTATCAATATTCAGTTCAAAAGCAAAATTATCCAAACCAAATGTTAGATAGTCCTTTGTGTAGCATTAAGTTTGAAAGAAATGAAATAATACCTAGAAAAATTAAGGCATGAAAATGTTCAGCTACATCTTTGATAACCAAGCATCTATTTAAAACAGGATTGGAAAAATATTAATTTTTATATTTTTGAAATTAAATTATAATTATACTGTTTACTCTTTCATCCTGAACAAGACCTAAAAGAAGATCCATATTATGTACTAATGTATACGTGAATATTAGCCATAAAGTACAGGATACCCGTGGTCCACTCTAGAGACCAAAGGAAGCTAGACAAGAAGGAAGCACCAATGGGAGGATGCTTTAATAGCACTTAAAAGGGGGGATAAAATAGCCATAGGAGGCAGATGGAGGGAAGAAATATGGTAGGAAAGGGGATGAAAAGGGAAGTGGGAGGGATGTTTAAGATACAGTGTGGGGAAAGTCAGGAGAGAGGATCAGAGAACTAGAAGAATGAATGGAAATCTGCAGCTGATGGGACAAGGTTGGAGTAGGGGGCATCTCTAGGACATGCTAGGGATTCAGGATTGAAGAGACTTCCAGGGGTCTATGGAGGTGACTCTAGCTGAGACGCATAGCAATCATAGTAATGGCAATAGGAAATCCTAAGTGACCATCTCCTGTAGCCAGGCAGGACCCTCAGGGGAGGATTAAGGATACCAACCCACGCATAAAACTTTCAACCCAAAATGTATCCTGTCTATAGGAAAAGCAGGAACAAAGATGAGGAAAAGCAGGAACAAAGATGGAGCGGAGACTGAGAAAATGGCCAAACAATAATGGGCTCAACTTGAGACCCATCCCATGGACAAGCACAAATCCCTGACACTATTAATAAAATTATGTTATCCTTGTATACAGGAGCCTAGCATACCTGTCGTCTGAGAGATAGTAGAGAACTGCAACAAATGCATAGACCCGTGGCCAAATATTGGACAGAGCTTGGGGAATCTTACAGAAGAGTGTATGTGGGAAGAATTGAAGGCCCTGAATGGATAGGAACTTCACTGAAAAACCAACAGAGTGAACTAACCTAGACTCTTGTGTGTTCCCAGAGACTGAACCACCAACCAGATAGCATACAGGGGCTAGAACTAGATCCCTTGCACACACGTGGCAGATGCATAGCTTTGTCTTCATGTGGGTTCCTCAACACCTGGAGTGGGGGAGGGAGAGCAGGGCTGTCTCTAAAGGTGATGCCTGTTTGTGGAATCCATTCTCCTAAATGGGCTGACTTTTCTGGTCCCAGAGGCAAAGAATGCACCCAGCCCTGCAGAGATTTGATATCCCAGGACAGAGGGATAGTCAGGGGTTCCTCCACCCTCTCAGAAAGAATTAGAGTGAGGTTTGGGGGAGGGACAGTGTCCAGGGAGGGCATCTGTGAGTGGAGACAGCAATTGGGATATAAAGTGAATAAATAAATAAATAAATAAATGGAAAAGGGTAAAGTATTCAGCTACATTTTTGATAAAGCAAGCAAGCATCTATTTAGAACAGGATTGGAAAATATTAGTTTTTATAGTTTTTGAAATTAAAATATAATTATATCATTTATTCTTTCCTTTTGGTCCCTTCAATCTCTCCCCTACACCCTTCTTTCTTGCTTTCTGTCAAATCACAGCTTCTTTTCCTGAATAAATGCTACATGTAAAAGAACTCATAAAATACACTTATTAAGCAACATACACACATTGAAAAGAATTGAACAGAGAAAAGTATTCCCATTTTTCAACTTCAAATGTACTGAATAATATGTGAATCTAATAATGAATATTAAACATGTTTTTGAAACATCTTAGTAAAATTAAAACTATGTTGTATACCTCAGAATCAAGGAAAAGTTAATGTGAACCAAGCATACTATATTGAGATAACACACAAGCAAAATTACTTATAAAATGTCAAATGTAGATATTAAAGAATAATTTATTAAGTAATAAAATAAAGCTGGGTTGATAACAGTACTTTCAGGCAAAATTGAGTTTCTGTGAAAGAAACAGAATGAATGCATAAAAGTATCTCATATGACTACATTTGAAGTAAATTCTTAGTGAAGAGAAATAAGAGATTATGAATTTTAAAACTTATAATAAAGGGAATCACAATAAGGAGAATGGACATTTCAATTTTTAACTTGAAACAAGTTCATTAAAATACAGAAAAATATAACATAATATTCATTTAATGTGCAGCAGACTCCTGGAGATAACCATTTTTATAGGTTAAACAATATTAATGAATAGTAGGATTGCTATTGCCCTGTCAGTGTGGTTTCTATCTCAAAGTTTTTTGCGTATTAACAGAATACTGACAATGCATGTATTTATTTTGTTGTCAAGAAATTGACCTAAATCATTACATGACTCAGCCTGTATCCCAGCCAGTGAGAAGATCCAAGTCGATTTTCAATAGAGAGAGGAATAGGGGTGATCTGCTATCTTTCTGTCTCCTTAAAGATGGAATTTTAGGAAGAGTCCTCAAATATCTGACCCAGGCAGACACATATTTCTTGTCTTTTCCTTCCCCCTTTCAGTCATCTAAATCAGATATGTGTAGCTAAAAATTTAGTAGTCATCCTCAAGACTGGAAGGCATTAATATAATACTCACATATTAATATAGTAGGCAGAATGCTAAAGAAATATGGGCTGCTGACAGCATAGCAATGCCACTTGTTTTTTTTTTCCCAAGATGGTAGACCAATATATTTTCTATAGTTCAAAACATGCTATAAAAAAGCATTTCATGTTCAAAAAAAAGAAATTAA